TTTCATATTTCACTAAAAGTATTATTAATGACTATTTTTATGTATTTGCAGAAATTATACCTAATGTACCATATTAGACACTATAAAATGGGCTTAATTTGTATGAACCTTTTTGTGATTTTGCATCTAAAACTTTTCTAGAATATTTAAAATGAGAATATAGATTCATCAGTGTTCTCATTTAAAAATGTAATTATCTGTTTCAGTTTTAAATGTCCTCATTTAAAAATGTAATTATCTGTTTCAGTTTCAGATAATTACATTTTTAAATGAGGACATTGATGAATATATATTCTCATTTTAAATATTCTAGAAAAGTTTTAGATGCAAAATCACAAAAAGGTTCATACAAATTAAGCCCATTTTATAATGTCTAATATGGTACATTAGGTATGATTTCTGACAGGGGACAGGGACCAGAGGGGAGAGGGGAGGAAATTTCAGAGGGAAAAGGGGAAGGATTTACAGGAACTAGTATAAAGGACACATGAACAGCAACTAAGGGGGATGGAAATGGGAGGGAGGTGGGGGGTATGGGGGGGTGGGCTGGGATGGGAGTAAAAGACAGAATACTGTAGTTGAAAAATACTTAAATAAAAAATATGTGAAAAATGTAATTATCTGAATGAATAAAGTTATTTAAAGAATTCTTAAGCTATTTAGATTGTTTTCTATTTTTCAGTCTTAAAGTATGCCATGTCATATAGCTTATGTGTAATATGGATATTGAATTGTTTTTTTTGCAAAAGGCGAATTTTCCATTATATATTCTAAACATTTCTTTTTTTCCTTAGAAATTTATTTAGTCCGTTCACATTACTGGACTCTCTTATTTTTATAATAGTTTCAGGTCAATTAACCTAATCAGATCATTACAAAGTGAATCTACTCTTTTTAGCAATCAAGTATTTATGTTAAAATTTATATTTTTTCTAATCTTGTTTAATTGGTTAGAGATTTTAGGATACTGCTAAACAATAGGGATCATCAGCATCTTTGTGTAGGTCTGATTTCAGTAAAAAAAAATCTGCTGGAATTCAGTAATTATTAATGTCCACCCACATACTCCTCCTATTGTCAGAAACATTGGTATTACAGTAATCAAAGAATCCATATCTGACACTGAAGTATGAAGTGGCATCCTCTAGGAAACTGCTACACACTTAGGGTTTTTCTGTGCGCTGATCTCTTCACTAATTATTAGGCAATGAGTTGACATTGATGTATTCTGTGAACATCTCATTTAATCGCTATAATTGAGGTCAAAATAATTTTATCTCCTTTTTATCAATGAAAGTTTTAAATGAGGACATTAATTTTCTCAAGACCATATAACTAGTAATGCGATAGAGTAAAATTTGCAAAAAGATCTCTTTTTGATTCTAAACTCTGAACTTAGCCATATTATGTTGTTTCTTATGTTTTTATTTTCATTTATGATACTTAACTTTAAAAGAATCATTCTTAGACAATGAAAGGTGAGTCTAAACTTTTAATTTTGGAAGTGGATTGTTATTCGTCTTATTAGCCATTAATATGTTTTCGTTTCTCAGATAACTAGATATATAACTAGATTTTGTGTGGATTAGCTGTTTTAAATCCAGTTGCTAAATTCTAACCAGTTCTCACAATTGGGGCATTTTGGCTCTGTTATTCACTCTTTCATTATTGGCCATTCAAGATTCTGAAAACCTGTAATTACAAACATAAAATACAAGCTGAAAATAGTTTTTTTTATCTAAATCATAACACTCTTTCTTTGCCAGTACTTCCTTGGATTAAGAGTCACTGATTAGTTAAATGAGTCATTTGCTGGGGCCATGAGGACATAGGCAAAGTGTCGAGAAAAATGATTCTTTACTGACTCAGAGCTGCACCTGGAAAACAGGTGTGGGTTCAGGATACCTGTAAATGGGTGGAGATTGTGAAGAGATGTAATGCATTTTTTGCATTTTTTCTTTTAATTATTTTTATTTGTTTTTGAACCTCAAGTTTTTTTAAATGTAGGAACGAGATAGATTCAATATTTCAACTTAATGTCATAATTCTAAATCACTCAGTTATACATTTCAAATTGCAGTTGTATGATTATCAGTCAAATAGACAAATTTCTCTTAAACATGTACATGCTTTTTAATATTCATAGTATACACATACATTTGTTTTAATAATAATTTCGAGTGTGCTGAAAAGTTGCAAAAGTTCACATTTTGTTTCATTGAGTTTATCATTCTCTCTGTCATAGTATGTGTGTGTGTCTGGTTTTTTACCTGAGTTATTTTTGAGAGTCAGTTACAGACTTTGTGTACCCCTTTTCCTAAACACTTCAGTGAGTATTTTCCTAAGAACAAGGACATAATCTTTTTTTAATAGTTTTAGATTTTGTTTTCCTAATTATCTTCCCATAGGAGCAATAATCTGCATTTCCATAACAACACATTTAATATTCTACTCATCAAAGAGCTGGAAAAAGTAGAAATAAAGCACAAATACTGTATTCTACATCTATACAAATAAACTCAATACATTAAGTACATTTTGTAGGCTGACTGTACTTGCAGTATAACAGAACTCTGAGCATGTTCATGCTGACCTCCACTTTGGTGAAAGTAAGGACAATGTTTCCTTTTGTAAACATGGTTCTCCACTTTGACTATTCTCTGAAAATAAAGACTTACATAAATGGAAAAATTAAATGCATAGTTGTGGAACCAGTGCTTTTTACTGGACACCACATAGAATAATCTTGACATCCACCAGTCCGTCCATTAGTTCTTAAATGTGAGCAGGGAGGGTGGCAAGAGGGTGCACTTGTACACGACTTTCATGTTGTTTAAGACTCATTTGTATTGCTGCTGCAAAAGGCACTGAATCACTCCTCATTTTTGTTAAATATGTGAGAAAAGAGTGAAAGTAAAAAATAAATTCCAAGGCTGCAATGGATAATATGGTCTCTGAACAAATAGTGTAAAATATCTTATAAGTGTTGCTGTCTGTTTAACCAGATTATTAATTAGCTCAAATGAGCATTAATACAAGACTCTGGAATTTTCTCCCTGGACCTAAAGGGTACAACTTTGAAATATTAATATGTCATTAAATACAGCTGCCTAAATACAGTTTTAGTAAGACTGTTTAAAGTTAATCTCCAAACAACTATTGAAAATTAGCTGTTACCCACAATATTATGCAAGCAACTTAAGAAATGAAAACATCAAATTGATTAGTGTTTTGAATCAGTTCTTCTATAAAATTTTTTATTCTAATATCCACCTACCCCAAGCACGCAGAATGTCATACTGTCTAAACTCTCTAACAGAGAGCTTTCAGAAATCAAGCTTTCTCCTTGATTCCTCCTCCTGGAACCACCAAACTCAGGCCTGGCTTAGCATAATCATTGTCCATGTATTTGAAAAGGGGCGAGTTGCAGACCTCTGACACTTGATCTTGGTCTTGTTGGTCATATCCTTCAAGGAGCTGCTCCAGTGCAGCACAATCTTTACTGCCATGAACCCCTGGAATGCCGTGGCTCTCCCTGACACATCTTTCTGCAGCCATGGAGTTATTTCTGTGGAGATGAACCAAGACTTCAGGGATTGTTTTCTTATAACAAGTTGGATACTTCTCAATTTCCTTATAAATATTTTTTACTTTCTCAATAGAGAGTGCTGCCTCATCAAACCTTGTGTCCTTGTACTAGGAGTCCAGAAATTTTTCCTAGTAATTCAACTGTCTGATATAAACATTCCTCATTTTCAAACCCATTAGCTGTCTGCTAATAGAACTGTACAGCCCTTTTCTGAATCTACATTTTCTATAAGCTTTCCAGCTCCCTCTGATTCTATGGTTGGTGTGTCTGGGGTGCTATTTTCTCTATACATCATGTTGGCTTTCTCAATCAGCTGAACAGCCTTTGGTAGTTTCTGCATCTCCTTCAACATCATGCCTGTTTGCTCATAAGCCTTGGCAGCCTGAAAAGAGCCCTGTTGTTCTCATGGGCAACAGCTTCTCTCTCTCACACAGATATCTTTTGCTTGCTCAAACTGTTTGGCATTTTTAAAAGCTATAGCTGCTTTTCCATATTCAGAAGCAGCACTGTCATAATCTAGCTTCTACTTTAAAAAAACAGTTTTCAGGAATTTCTCAGCTTTGGTGAGGAGCTGCAGCCTATTTATCTTCTGAGCCACTGTTTCCACTGCACCAGACCTAGAAGGCAGGACATAATCTTATGGTATAGATACAATACTATTCAAATCAGGAAGCTTAACATTGATATAATGCTATACCCACTTTATGGCCCATGTTGAAATTTATGTAATTTTTTTATATTTATGGTGTCAGTTGCATGTGCCCAATGTTGAAGCCCTGAATAAATTATCATTATTTTTTTGTAAATGTGTCCATATCTGCATTATATGCAGTTTTAATCTTTTCTTAGACTCAGTTAGTAGTTATTTTGTTGTGATATTACAATCTTATGTCTTTTTCTTGGTTATTTCCTATGTATTTATTAGTAGTTCATAGAGAAGTTGTAAGAAGCTACAATGGGCATTAAGAAAATGTCACTTCAATATGAAATCAAAAGTTTTAGAATTTATCTGTACATCTGAATTCATTATGTATTGGTATAATTTTATTTTAATAAAGTTAGTGAAAAATGAATAGATTATTTTTTAATTCCAAATCAAGATTTTATCTAATTTATATCACAAATAAAAACATTTTGAATTAGTTACAAATGACTAAGAGTTTGTAAGTAAGGGGGAAAAGCCAATTTATTATGGGTTTTGCTGGTTGAGTTGATTTCAATAGTGCTTTATATAGTAGTTTTGGTTGTACAGTTCTAGGTCATGTCTTCAGCATCACAGAACATTACCTCATAAATGGAATATTTGCAAGTGTGAGTCTATTCATGTATCATTTACTGGTTATAAAACTACTCATGTAGTTTCTTATTTTTGTATCTTTTTATTTCTAGAATTTGAAATCTCAAGAGAGAAATGAAGAACCATACAAAACAGAGAGAATTTATCCTTCTGGGACTGACAGATAACCCTCAGTTACAGATTGTAATTTTTTTATTTTTACTTCTGAATTACTTGCTGAGCATGATAGGAAACTTAACCATTATTGCCCTCTCGCAAATGGATCCCCATCTCAAGACCCCAATGTATTTCTTCCTCCAAAATTTCTCTTTTCTGGAAATATCATTCACAAGTGCTTGCATCCCCAGATTCCTAAACACCATTGTAACCAAGGAAAAGACCATTTCTTATAGCGGTTGCATATCTCAGTTATTTTTTTACTTTTTCTTGGGGGCTGCAGAGTTTTTCCTTTTGGCAGTTATGTCCTATGACCGCTATGTTGCCATCTGCAAACCTTTGCATTACACAACCATTATGTGCAGCAGAGTTTGTCACCAGCTTGTACTCAGTTCTTGGGCAACTGGACTCTTGGTGATTTTCCCACTATTGAGTTTTATTGTTAACCTGGATTTCTGTGCTTCAAATATCATTGACCATTTCATTTGTGACATTTCTCCTGTCCTGCAACTTTCTTGCTCAGACACACATTTACTAGAACTGATTACGTTTTTCTTAGCTGTGATAACCCTCCTTGTCACCTTGTTAGTAGTAATCCTTTCTTACTCTTATATCATCAAGACAATCCTAAAATTCCCCTCAGCTCAGCAAAAGAAAAAAGCCTTTTCTACCTGCTCTTCTCACATGATTGTTATAACCATCACTTATGGAAGTTGTATATTCATCTACATAAAGCCATCAGCAAATGAAAGAATCACTTTAAGTAAAGGAGTAGCTGTCCTTAATACTTCAATTGCTCCTTTGTTGAACCCATTCATTTATACTCTAAGAAACCAGCAAGTTAAACAAGCCTTCAAAAATGTATTTAGAAAGACCTTTTATGCTTTAGACAAGTAATACTATTCATTGAAATAATTAACATAAAAACATAAAAGGGACATGGAACAAAACCTATTTTGACTTTTCTAGTTTAAGAATCAATCTCTAGTGTTTAGTTAGGTGGATCACTTTACTAAAGCTTAGAGACTCTTACACTTCATGAATTTAACTTTCTGTTCTTCAGAGTGAAACCTTACTATGTATAGACATAAGAAAGTATGCTTAGCATCACTAGCCATCAGAGAAATGCAAATTAAAACCACAGTGAGAGACCACTTCTCAATGGTCAGAATGGACATCATAACCAAATTAACAAAACAGCAAATATTAAAGAGGATGTGGAGAAAAAAGAACCTTAGTGCACTGTTGGTGGGAATGCAGACTAGTGTAGGCACTGTAGACAATGGTATGGAATTTCCTCAGAAAACTAAAAACAGAACTGACTTTTCCCCCAGCAATACCACTGCTGGAATTATACCCTAAGAATCCTGAAACACCAATTCAAAAGAATCTGTGTACCCCAATGTTCATAGCTGCACAATTTAAAATAGCCAAGTGCTGGAAATGATAGGGGACTGAAGAATTGGAAAATTTTAGTTTAAGGTAAATAGTCAATAAGCCTAGTAGGTAACGCATATGTTAAAGCTATTGTTTCAGGAACTGCAGGTATGGCTCACCCTGGCTTCCCAGAGAGACAAAGGACCTCCTGGGGCACAGCTAAAGACCACTGCCTGGGGCATGGCTGGAGATATCTGAGTCATTGTGTTCCAGGGTGAGTCAGACTACCACCAGAGACAGCTAATGGGGCAGGGCGAGAATTCTGCAGTTTTTAATCTAATTTTCCCTGAACTTCAAAACCCCACACCACACTTTGTTCTCTGTTATAAAAAGGCTGGCTTGAAAGGAAATATAAGATGGTCTGTCAAGGTACAAATGTGCCATCTTCTCAGATTGCTGGCCACATGGATAAAGCACTCATAAACATTCAATTCCTGTCTCTGCTTATTAGGTTAGGTAGGTGACAGGCAGCATGAAAGCTTACTTTTCTGGTTTTAGAAACAGCCTAAGTGTCCATCAGTAAATGTAAAAAGTAAAATGTAAAATGTAAAAAGTAAAGGTGTGGATCAAAAAACTGTGGTATATTTACACAATGGAGTACTATGCATCAGAAAGAAAGGATTTCTTAACCTTTGAGACACCATGGATGGAACTGGAGAGCAATATGCTTAGTGAAATAAGCCAGGCAGTGAAAGACAAATTCCATATGATCTTACTTATATGTGGAACCTAATCAACAACAAAAAAATCAAGTGAACAAAATAGAACCAGAGACATGGAAATAAAAAACAAACTGATAGTAATCAGAGGGGAGGTGGGAGTGGGATAATGGGGAAAGATGAGGAAGGGTCAAGTCAAGGAGCATGCACAAAGGAACCATGGACATGGACAATAGGAGGAAGGATTGAATGTGGAAGGTGGGGGTGGATAGGGCAGGGGAGACTAATGGGGGATAGATGGGGACAACTATAATTGAACAATAAAATCATTAAATATGCAAGGGCAAAATTTACTTTCTCTAAAAGCATGTGAAAATAAAATGAATAAAAGGGTTTTTTTTATGGTGAGTAATATTTGATAAAATCCTTTAATATTTTGGAAGCGAAAAAGCAGAATACAGCTACTAAAAAAGCTGTATTCAGAACTTTATTTTTTTTAATTTTTTTATTTAATAAATTTTTAAGTACAGTTTTCTGTCTTATACTCCCATCCGAGCCCACCCCCCCCAGTGCTCCCCACCTCCCTCCCATTTCCACCCCCCTTAGTTGTTGTTCATATGTCCTTTATACTAGTTCCTGTAAATCCTTCCCCGTTTTCCCCTTAAATTCCCTCCCTCTCCCCTATGGTCACTGTTCCCTTGTTCTCTATTTCAGTGTCATTGTTTTTATTTTGCTTTCTTGTTCGTTTTGTTGTTTAGCTTCCTGTTAAAGGTGAGATCATATGGTATTTGTCTTTCACTGCCTGGCTTATTTCTCTCAGCATAATGCTTTCCAGTTTCATCCATGCTGTTGCAAAGGGTAGGAGCTCATTCTGTCTTTCTGCTGCATAGAATTCCATTGTGTATATGTACCACAATTTTTGAATGCATTCATTTACTGATGGGCACCTAGGTTGTTTCCAGCTCTTCGCTATTGTAAATTGTGCTGCTATGAACATTGGCGTGCATAGGTTCTTTTGGATTGGTGTTTTAGGGTTCTTAGGCTATAATCCCAGCAGTGGAATTGCTGGGTCAAAAGGCAGGTCCATAGTTTTCTTAGAAAATTCCATACTGTTTTCCATAGTGGTTGTACCAGTCTGCAATCCCACCAACAGTAAACTAGGGATCCCTTTTCCCCACAATCTCTCCAACATTTGTTGTTTGTTGCTTTGTTTATGATAGCCATTCTGACTGGTGTAAAGTGGTAACTCATTGTGGTTTTAATTTGCATCTCTCTGATAGATAGCGATATTGAGCATCTTTTCATGTGTCTCTGTATGTTCTGTATGTCCTCCTTGGAGAAGTGTCTGTTCAAGTCATTTTCCTATTTTTTAATTGGATTAGTTGTCTTCTTAGAGTGAAGTCATGTAAGTTCTTTGTGTATTTTGGAGATTAAACCTTTGTCTGAGGTATCATTGGCAAATATGTTTTTTCAGACAGTTGGTTGTCTTTTTATTTTAATAGTTTTCTTTAGCCACACAGAAACTTTTTATTTATTTTTTCAACTTCCAGTATCATTTATTTTTCCTAGAATCTAGATACAATTAACTGTAGCAAGACAGTGCTCAATACTATTTAAGCCTTGTTTTAAGTTCTTTAAACTAGCTCATCATTTGTAAACGTGAATTCACATTTCAGTAAAAATGGAAACTACGTTTGACATTAACAAAATTTACTTGATGTTAAGTACAAAACTTGTATGAAACACGTGGACTTAATATACCAGAATTTGGCCTTTATAAACTAGCTTACACATAAACAGTTACTTTATCGGTCCTAACCTACTTAGTGTTGCACCAGAGCCCCTCCCACTGCTTTTATACTACAAGATTCCTCCCCTTAGGGCAAGGTGAGAAAATTCCCACCCAGGAAAGAAAGAAAAACCCTAACAGATTTATCCAATTCTGAATCATCAGCAAATATAACACCAGAAATAGGTTATGGGCTACTGTAAACCTAAATAACATAAAAGAAAATTACGGTGTTGACCAAAAGAACACACAGGATTCTCATTAAACTTTGTTTTAATGGGTCTCAAAATTCTGTGACAGATTTTGGTCAAGTTGTTTACATTAACAAGTACTGATTTTTAAAAACTAATAACTTAAAAACTGCCACACACACAAAAAAACCCAAATGGTCCACAAAACATTCTCCTTTTTATTTTGATGAGATCCCATTTTTTTATTCTATCCTTTATTTCCCTTGCTCTAGGAGACATATTAGTGCGAATGTGCTGCATGAAATATCTGAGATCTTCCTGCCAATGTTCTCCTCTAGGACTTTAATGGTGTCCAAGCTTATATGTAAGTCTTTTATCCAACTTGAATTTATTTTGGTGTATGGTGTAAGTTGGTGCTCAAGTTTCATTTTTTTGCACATAGCTGTCCAGTTCTCCCAACACCATTTGTTAAAGAGGCTATTTTTACTCCATTTTATGTTACTGTCCCCTTTGTCAAATATTAATTGACTGTAGAGAGTTGGGTTGATTTCTGGACTCTCTGTTCTGTTTCATTGGTCTATGTGCCTGTTTTTATGCCAGTACCAGGCTGTTTTGATTATGGTGGCCTTGTAATACAATTTGATATCAGGTATTGTGATTCCTCCTACTTTGTTCTTCTTTCTCAAAATAGCAGCTGGTATTCAGGCTCATTTATGGTTCCATATAAATTTTTGAAGTGTTTGTTCTATGTCTGTGAAATATGCCATTGGTACTTTAATAGGTATTGCATTGAATCTGTAAATTACTTTGGGTAATATGGACATTTTGATGATGTTAATTATTCCAATCCATGAACACGGTATATATTTCCATTTGTTTGTGTCTTCCTTGATTTCTTTCTTTAGTGTTGTATAGTTTTCTTCATACAGGTCTTTCACCTCCTTAGTTAGGTTTATTGCCAGATATTTTATTTTTGTTTTTGCTATATCGAATGGGATTTTTTTCTTGATTTCTGCTTCTGCTGATTTATGCTTACTATATAAAAATGCCTTTGATTTCTGGATATTGACTTTGTAACCCACTGTTTCACCAAATTCATTTATTGGTTCAAGCAGTTTTTGAGTAGAGTCTATAGTATTTTCCATATACACTATCAGGTCATCTGCAAACAGTGACAGTTTTGTTTCCTCCTTTCCAATTTGGATGCCTTTTATTTCCTTGTCTTGTCTAATAGCTGTGGCTAAAACTTCCAATACTATATTGAAGAGAAGTGGTGAAAGTGGACATCCTTGTCTTGTTCCTGATCTTAGTGGAAAAGCTTTTAGTTTTTGCCCATTGAGTATGATGTTGGCTGTAGGTCTCTCATATATGGCCTTTATTATATTGAGGAATGCTCCCTCTATTCCCACTTTGCTGAGTGTTTTTATAATAAATGGGTGTTGTACTTTATCAAAAGATTTTTCCGCATCTATTGATATGATCATGTGATTTTTGTCTTTGCTTTTGTTCATATGATGTATTACATTTATTGACTTGTGAATATTGAACCATCCTTGCATCCCTGGGATGAATCCCACTTTGTCATGGTGAAGGATCTTGTTGGATGCGATTTGGCAATATTTTGTTGAGGATTTTAGCGTCTATGTTCATCAGCAATATTGGCCTGAAGTTTTCTTTCTTTATTGTGTCTCTATCCGGTTTTGGAATTAGGATGATGCTGGCTTCATAAAAAGAGTTTGTGAGTTTTCCATCATTTTGGATTTTTTGGAATAGTCTATGAAGAATAGAGGTTATCTCTTCCTTAAATGCTTTGTAGAATTCTCCTGTGAAACCATCTGGTCCAGGGCTTTTGTGAGCTGCAAGGTCTTTGATTGGTGCTTCAATTTCATCTGCTGTTATTGGTCTGTTCAGGTTTCCTGCTTCTTCTTCATTGGGTTTTGGAAGATTATATTTTTCTAGAAATTTGTCCATTTTACCTAGGTTTTTAATTTG